GAACTCAAAAAGCTAAACACCAAAAAAACAAATAACCCAATAAATGGGCCAAGGACCTGAAGAGACACTTCTCAGAAGATGATGTACAATCAATCAACAAATACATGAAAAAATGTTCATCATCACTAGCAATTAGAGAAATGCAAATCAAAACCACTCTTAATATTTCATCTCATTCCAGTCAGAATGGCAGCTATTATGCACTCAAACAACAATAAGTGTTAGCGAAGATGTGGGGAAAAAGGTACACCCATACCCTGCTGATGGGACTGCAAACTGGTGTAGCCAATATGGAAAGCAGTATGGAGATTTCTTGGAAAATTGGGAATGGAACCACCATATGAGCCAGCTATTCCTCTCCTCGGTCTATACCCCAAAAATTTAAAAACAGCATATTACAGGGACACAGCCACATCAATGTTTATAGTACCACAATTCACAACAGCTAAACTGTGGAACCAACCTAGATGCCCTTTAATAGGATAAAAGAAATGTGGCATATATAAACAATGGAATGTTACTTAGCAATAAAAGAGAATAAAATCATGGCATTTGCGGATAAATGGATAAAGTTAGAGAAGATAATGCTAAGTGAAGTTAGCCAATCCCAAAAAACCAAATGCCGAATGTTTTCTTTGATATAAGGAGGCTGATTCATATTGGGATAGGGAGCGAGAGCATGGGAGGAATAGAAGAACTCTAGTAGGGCAGAGGGTTTGGAGAGGAAGGGAGGGATATGGAGTTATTAATGAAGGTGGAATGGGATGTTCATTATTATCCAAAGTACAGGTATGAAGACACAAATTGGTGTCAATATACTGTGTCTATAACCAGAGATATGAAAAATTGTGCTCTATATGTGTAATTAGATTGTAATACATTCTGCTGTGATATATAAATTTAAAAAATAAGGGAAAAGATATAAAACCACCCTAGATAATCATGTCAGATCTAGGTAATCAAGAAATAAACTGGAAATCATGTTTTAAAAGTTTTGTAACCTGCATAGCAAATGGAAATTTTGAAAGAAATCATAAGTAGGTAACAACAGAGATCACTCCATAGGAGGTGACAACATAATCAAGATATCTAATAGTTCAATTTAAGAAATGTAAACAAACCAACAAATTCATTAAATAGAACAGTACAGTACACTACTAAATTAYATAAATAGGAGGCCATTAGTTTTAGGCTATGTCACTATGTTGAGTTCCCAGTAACGAACTGCAATCTAATACATAAACAAATTGAAACCTAATTTAGGTGTGTGCATGTGTGTGAATGTGTGTAAAAAAAGCTATGAACTGATGAAACCTATTCAAGAGCATATTTGTTTTTTAACAAAGCGCCAAACTTCAGCCAATCACAGGCAGTCAACTCATCACACCACACCCAAATAAGAGAAACRCATCATCACACTATGCCCAAACAAGGCAGAAGCTTAGCTGTAGCCTATCAGATAATTTCTCTACTCTGCTTCCTATTCAGTCTATACAACAAGCTTGCTGCTTCTACTGCTGGATGGAATGCCTGAACCCTTTCTGGTTCTATGTACTGCCTAATTTGCGAAATGTTCTTTGCTGTTACAAAGTTCAATTTGTTCAAATTTTTGCTTTTAACATTTTATTTCTTCTTAAAGTTGTCTTGGGGTAGTTGGTAGAATAAAGTTACAGAGCTCTCAGAGGAAAAGCTATATACCTATTCATCATAGAAAAAAAATCTATTAGCATTAAGACTAACAAATTATAGGGTCAGTTTCTCCAAATTACCAACACAGCTAATATTTTTATTTAAAAGGTTTTAGATACCACCTCTATAATTTGTAGGTTTTCAATAATTATTGGTTGAATTTATTTAAGATGCTGGTCAAATTAAAAGGAATTAATGATCAGATAGTTCAAGAATCTTGGCTCATATTATAAATTTGAGGAGAGCAAAAACTATAACCTGATGAAAAGCTACAATTAGTTTCAAACAGGATTTATGAAGAATCTCTCTAGTATGAAAATCCAAGCTACCCTTTTTAAATGACACAATTGGGATTATCTATTCCGAACAACTGGGATTTGCTGGTCATTTTTTATGTAAAACTCAGAAAGGGGAGTCTGGAACTTTAGGTGGTTGTTCTACATTGTTTCACATGGAAAATACAGCGTTATATTAGAGACAATGATGATACAGAGTATATAAAGATTCACTAAGAAGCAATTAAGGGCCAGATAATTTTTTGCCTCATTTGATGCTTAAAATTCTGTTAAACAGGCATTATCTCCAGTAATACATGCAGAGAAGGAAAAGGATAAGAGAAAGTACTGCTGTGTTACACAGCAATAAGAGGCAGATATAGCTTAACAAATACTGACTAAACTCTAGGCCCAGTGATCTCTGTATCCTCTCCATCTGTACAATTTTTGTTCAGGAATATTAGTTCGGAAAAAGGGCCACGAAAAGCAGTGCCAACATCTAAGGGCAGGTTAGATTAAATGATGATGCTAAAAGGGAAGAGAATCTCCTCTTAAGCTAATGGATTAACTGAATCAAGAATCATAAAATCTAGATCTATGCTTACCAACCAACAGGCAGTTTATCTGCCTTCTTTTTTGAGACTGCAATTACTTTTGCTGCAGCTATACTACTTCATAAAAACCAGTCATTTACACATGCAGAGGTAAACTAGAAATTAAAAAAAAAAACATCTAGAGAGTCTTTATAGGCCCTTTGATAGGCAACTTTGCAGGTAGGAAAGGGCACATGTCTTCTGGATAAAATATTTACTTCCTTCTCTTTAACATAACAATATGAATATTACAATTAAAAGGCACAGTTTTTGATATGGGCATGGTGGCATATTATTAGGTTTATAATTCCAGTAACACAGAAGGCTGAGGCAGGAGGTTTGCAAGTTCAGGGACAGCCACAGCTCAAATTAGTGAGATCCTCAGCAACTCAGCAAGACCATATCTCGAAATTAAAAATAAATAAATGAGGACCGAAGATATAGCTCAATGGTAAAGCACCGCTGAGTTCAACTGCAGTAACAAAAAAAGGCAGTCTTTTAACTTATCAAGATTATTTTTAATATCATAATTTCACAGTAAAAAAGCAAAAATATCTCGTGTTACATATAAAATATACCAAATACTGCTATAAATTCTATTTTTCAATCACAAATTAGAAATAAAATATTTTCTATTAATTAAATATGCCACAGAAAGGTAAAATCATACACAATCATATTCTAGTCATTTAAAACTTTTATAAGAGTATATAAACTAGATCCTAATCTACAAAATATCCAAAGTCAATACCTTGAATTATACTAGGAAATAGATGTAATATTTGAAGAGTACTACTGATTTATTTTGCAATTATCTGGTTTAAGAAGGGTATGGCTGTAACAATGAAAACTAAAATCAAGAACTCCAGAGAGAAACAGAGAAAAAAACAGAGATAAAGAGAAAGGGGGGGAGAGAAGAAGAGAAAGAAGGGAAGGAAGAAGGAAAATGAGAAAAGTGATAGAGAAAAGGGAAAAAAGCAACACATGGGGATAGGAGAGAAGGATTTCAGAGAAAATAATCAGAAAATTAACTAAAGACAAAAACCATAGTCAAACAAATGATTAAGATAGAAAAGTGGCTAATAGCCAAAAGAAGATAATACACTTAGTGATTTTTCAAAATGAAGATTACCTACAATTTGTAGCTGATTTAACATTAAGATACTATGACTAAAAGAAATAGTCCTGAACTATCAAGGCAAAGAAATAGGAAAAGGGTCTGTGGCCCATAGGTAGTCATTATATTTTTTTATAGCTTCTAAAATTAAATTTACTAAAAATGAACATAATACTTTCAGACCCACCAAGAACAAGTATATATCTTTCTATCCTTTCATGAGGTGCAGTCTTATGTCTTTTAACAAGCAGGAAAATTAATTCTAAGCAAATATAACACCAAAGCTAGAATTAAAAAGTAAATGGTTCATTAAACATAAGCTCATAGATGTAACCAAAGGACTGGCTAAGAATTTAACAGAAGAAGCAGATAGCTGGTCCAATAATACCACATGAGAATTTCTCAGATGTTTTACTTCCCCAGGGTGCCTTGGCTTCAAAATGTTAATACATCAACTGTCTAACTTTACCAAAGTAGACCTAAAGCCTATCTTTGCTCTAAGCTAGTAATAAATTCAGAATAACTGAGACACCAAAGTGGARAGCCACATGTTTTGGTACAACTGAATTTGTAATTAGTTGGAAAAAAAGGTGTTACACTTACTCATACCACTGTTTATTGTGTTTTCGGTAAAGCAACGTATCCAAGGCAACAGCATTGACATCCAGAGCTCCTGGGGAAGGCCACTGGTTGGTGAGGTGGGCAGTTAACTCTTGTCTTGATCTTAAATCATTATTCTTTAGCACAGTCCTGTGAATATTAAGATGGTGAGTGCTTTTGTCTTCACTGTTACAATGGCAGAGGAACCTAATGATATCAATTTAGGTCCCCAAAATTAATCTTTTAAAAGTGGTATGTTAATAGATTGTGAACAAAACTACAGCAAGACTGGCTGGGACTATGGCTGTTTTGTCTTCTGCAGTATATGCTTTATTTTCTTTCTCTGCTGATTACAATAAATCACTACTATTGAAACTCTGACTTTCTATATTTTCCACAGAGATTATTACTAAAAGACTATCGGACCAAAGAAGCATTTTACATCGTAACTAAAATACAATGGTGATAGCCTAAAGATACAAGCTATTTGGTGCCRTTGAAAACATTTAAGATTTCAAGTGTATGATTTTTCTGGCTTCAAAACTCAGAAACGACCTCCAAAAGTAATTTAACTCAAATAAGCAAAAAGCAATTAAAATGAATTTTAGAAGAAAGGTTGCAGGGCTGGGTATATAGAGTTGGTAGAGCGTTTGCCTCCTATGCACAAAGCCCTGGGTTCAATCCTCAGCACCACGACCAAAAAGAAAAAAAAAGAAAAAAAAAGAAAGGGTACAGAAAAATACAAAATAAAAAATCCATCAGATTCCCATAACTGTTTTTGATGGATATGACTATAAATCTTCATGAATTTGATTAAATCAGTGACAGCTGCAGTGAACAACATAAGCCACTGGACATATTCCAACTATAGAATAAAGCCATCATAACAATTTGTGGTTTTATTTTTTGTTTGTTTCCTTCCTTTAATTTTTGTAGAAATGTTATTGTGAATAACAACTTAYAAAACAAATATCTTTTTGCTAAAATTTCAACTGTATGAACCAAGTGATCATCTTCATGAAACAAATTCAACGTTTAAGTTTATGGTTAAAGAAGACTTAAAAGTAGAGATCTGCTGTATGTCTACAGAGCCTTAAAAATCATCTTGGCAATGCACATCCTCAGACAGGAGTCCATAACCTTAGTGTGCCAAGGTTTGGAACCATCAAGTCAGAAGCAAGGAAGTCATTTGTGTTTGCCAACAAATTCTACATACAATAGTCCTGTGTTGGGAGGCAAGAGAGGGGAGGAAATGAGGTACTGACAGAACAATCCTGCACTTAGGAAAATCAACCGGCATGTCCCCTCTAACTTAACAGTGATTCTAAAAGAATTACCATTTTTACAWGTCTCAACCAGGCCATAGGCAAATATTTAGGATTTTTCACAATCTGTATATGTTGAAAAATATTTGTCTTATAATGTCCACAAAAAAACATCTAAGATAAGCACTAGACTCTCAAAATGTAATAAGTAAAATAGGCAAAGTCAGTGATAATGTATCCCATGAAGATAATCTTTTTGGTTAGTTGCCACAATTTCCTTGTACTAGAATATAAATGAAAAATTCAGAAAAGATCTTTAAAGGTATTTTAACCTTGTTTTAAAAATGAAAACAGCAAWGTTTTAAAGTAATTTTAAGATTGATATAGAAATCATGTAAAGCAGAACTGAGGATTATTGGCAAGATAACCTATTATAATAAACTATCATTATTTTTGGTTTTCTTAGTAGATTTTTCTCTTACATATTCCCTTTCTCGGGGTTTCTAGTGAACATCATCACTAGAAAACTCAACTTCAAAGTCCTAACTGAGTAGGATGTGAGACAAGCAAATGTGCATGTGTGAGATAAGGACACTGGTAGAACTCTTGTTAATAAGCAACTGAACAATTTCTAATTTATAAAATATTCTTTCTGAAAAATTGAGAAATTTTACACCTCATAAAATAGAAGAAAAAACTAAAATTTCACCAAAGTTTTTACACAACACTTGTCCATAGAGAATTTTTGCCTAATGACAGGTTAAGGTATGTCTTTAGACCTCTGTTCTTAGAAATCCTGTTTTCTATGGACAGTTGTCCAATCCTCTGAAACAGGAGATGAGGCATTTCAGTGCAYAGGATAGGTGTAGTTTCTGTTCATCTTTTTTCCTTCTTTTGTGAGGAATCTGGAGACAGGAAATCCGGGCACTTGCCTTGCCACTATGAAGAGGAAGTGTTCCTGGAGAATCCTTGCATAAGGCCCTTTCTTTCACCACTCCTGTATACTCCAGTACACTATGGGACAGGCAAATGAATTAAGTTAGGTTGAAAAATCCCATCCCTGGATTTTATCTTGACTAGAGCTAGTAAAAGGACAGTACTTCATTCACTTGAGCAGTGGGGCTCTGACCAGAGTGTCTGAGCATAGAGACCTCTCCATAGTCCCTATTTCCAGCCCCTGGGAGTAGCTTTTCCTTCCAGATTTAYTTCTCCAGTCATCTATCTATTCTGTGAGTTGCTGATATCTTTTTAAAGAATTCTACTTGTACTAAAGAGTTGATTGTGATTGGCTGGAATCAAAGAATCCTACCACTTACCTTAGAACCAGGAAAATATACTCTTAATATCAAGACCTATTCAAACTGATTCAAATAACCCTAATAAGAGGCTGATGATATTTTTCTTATTTGTTCCAGCTTATAATGGATTTACTTTAAATTACTCAACAATTGTCATCACATAAAGGTATTAAGTCAGTGGCAAAGGTAAAAATATATAATGTTTAGCATTTTACTTTAATTGAAACTCTAATTGGTGCTGAAGTTAGCTACTATAAAAACATAGAACTATTCTATATGTGATAGATTCTACTAATCATTCATCTATTATATAAATCATAGATTTACTATTCTCTCATTGAGGTAAAGATTTTACAGAAAGTTCCACTCAAGGAAAATTGTTTAATTGCCTAAGAAAGTAATAATAATACAGTCATCACAGTTAATTTTAATAACTTTCATGTGGTATTTACCTCTAAATTTCTAGTAATTAATTTCTTTTTAGATTCTCAAGATAAATTATTCAGGAATTTGGTCCCTCAAAATAACATAATTGAATTTTCAAAAACAATTTAAAGAAAGATTTTATGGATTTTAAGCTAGATATAACTCCATCAAGTCTTTCTTTGAGGCAGTTTCTGACACTTTTAATGCTAAAATAGAGCTCAGAGTAAGTTGCAAGGCTGCCTTATTAGCGATAATGATTAAAAACTCAGGTTTATTTATATGCCCAAAATATATCATCTCCTTGCCTTTACTCCTCCACCATTAATAATATCCCTACTATATTCCAAAGGATCCAAACTATCCATCTCTCAAGATCCATTTAATTTTCTACCTCTTACATAAAGACCTTCAGACCACAGTGATACCACCTTTATTGCTTTGCAGTCTCATAAAATTTAATAATCAATTATTTTAAGGCAGGAGTGTAGATATATGGTAGAACACTTGCTTAGCATGCATCAGTGTCTATCCCAGCATGAAAATACAGACAAACAAAAAATAAAAAATAAATTATTCTAATGATTTAGTCTGTCCTTTGGTTCTTCTCCTTTGATTATAAGCTACTTTGGAATAGCGGCTTTATTTAATATTTATTTATTGGGATGATTAACATAATATTAAGAGTCTTCTAAAAATATTTGTAACTTTGGGCTGGGGGTATAGCTCAGTGATACAGTACTTGCCTGGCAGGCATAGGGCCCCAGGTTTGAACCCCAGCACCAAAAAAATACAAACCAATTAAAAATCTATTTACTAAAATTTATTAAAGAATCAGCAGACTTTCTAACAAAGAAGAAAACTGGTAAACAGTATTGTATTGCCTCTAYATACAATTCACATGACCACTAAGTGTAAACTATTTCAGCTTGACATTTCCCATGGATTCCATCTGACTTTGTTTTTGTTTGTTTTAGTACTGGGGATTAAATCCAGGAGTGCTTTACCACTGAGCTACATCCCCAATCCTTTTTATTTTTTACTTTGAGAGAGGGTCTTGCTAAGTAACTGAGGGTCTTGCTAAATTGTTGAGGCTGACCTTGAACTTGCCACCCTTCTGCCTCAGTCTCCTGAGTCACTGATTATAGGCTGGCTGACTTTGTATACACCACTTCATAATAAAAGTTAAGATCAAGGGCTCTAGATTAGTGGTAGTACCACCCCTCAGTTATGTGGCTTTGAGTTTTTAATCTGAGAATCCGCATCTCTGGATGACAACTACCTACCTCATGAAATTATTATAAAGGTTATTAAATTGTTAAAACATACAAAGTACTTTAGAGTGGTGTATTACTTTTTTCAGTACTTAATCACAATTTAAAAGGCTTTTCTGTTTAATTTTCTATACTTGGGATTAAACTCAAGGTAGTTCTACCACTGAGTTACATCCGCAGACTTTTTATTTTTGAGACAGGGTCTCACCAAGTTGCTGAGGGGGACCTCAAATTTACAATCCTCCTCTTCAAACTTCCAAGTTGTTTGTTTCTCTTTCGTGGCTCCTTTCCATCCACTTGGTCCTTTAAATGGTGTTCTCAACAACTCCCACCAATTTGTTCTCAAAGTCTTCAGTTTCTCTGTAAATACAGAGTACTCTGGCTTTAAAAATGAGATCCTACATTCTTCTGAGTCCACAGCACTATGCTCACTATTTAAATGAAAGAAAATAAAATATTTSCACAATTTGGTCTCTTTCTTTTAGAAAGTAGGCTTATATCTATAGTTATTTTTAAGCCCCCTTAAAAGATCTAGAAATCTATACTCTAGACTTTGATAATATCCCTTAGAGCAATTGTGTCCCTCATAATGAGTGTTTTGGAAACCTCATTCCAAATGCAACATTGTTTTGAAGTGGAATCTAATGAGAGGTAATTTAGGTCATGAGGGTTCCTCCCTCCTAGATTAATGGATGAATCCACTCATTGATTACTCAAAGTGCTCGGGGCTTTGAGTTAGGTCTCTTGTTTGCTCTCACTCTCTTGTTCTTTTGCCTTGCTTCATGGGATGACACAGCATGAAGGCTCTGGAAAAATGTCTCTGCTGTGCTCTTTGATTTCTAAGTCTCTAGAACTGTGGGCCAAATAAATCTCTGTTCTTTATAGACAAT